ACACGAGGACAGTAGATCGAACAAAATATCATGTTACCGAGAAGAAGAAAAAACCAAGAACATCTCCATCTGGGTTCCTTCTGGAGTCAATGTGGCATTCTGAACTGGGTATTAGGGTCAAAAGTATTTTCAAATTGCTTAGGACCCGCCGATCACAATGTCAGGGAACTCTAGCCCCTACAATTCTTGTAATACGCCATCGCCCTTAAAGGCATATCGTGGCAGTAAACACTTACTCCCCTCCCCCCCCCCGAAAAAAATAATCACCCCTACCACCCCGTCGGGCACTTTGCTTACCTTAAACGCCCCCTCCACTGAATATATCAAATTATCAATCCACCCCATCCCACTGGACACTTTGCTTATTTTGAACCAACCTCCCCCTTTCCTGAATATAATGCAGAAAGGGCGAAAGCGGTGCGTGTTGTGACATATGCTAAATCTTATTTGCTCCCAGTTTTTGTTTAAATTTCATATAGTATGCCCTTGAGTACATTACTACTCCTTCAGTCTCAAAGTTGACCCAAATTCAATTCGAGGTAGGAAAAGTACAATTGACTTTTAAAGAATAATCTCTCTCGAAAAGTCCCTCAATTCAAGCTCCCGTTTTTAATCTCTTGTACTTCGATCCCATTATGTGCTTCGCCACATTGTGAGTTGGCCTGGCTTCAGTTTGGGTAGAAAATATGCAATCGGCTTCTAAAGTTAGAATGAAGGAACACACCGAGGAATAGGCCTAGTTTAAAATTCAAGAAATAGTAATTGCCAAAAAAAAATCAAACTTATTATAAACAACTATGGGTTTCACTGATTCCATTTGCTGAAGCTCTCTGGTGTAGAGATAATTTCATAAAGAAATGCAGCCAGTTCATTGTCAGGTATACAATGGCTTTTTGATTATATAAACATAATAACAAACTACATAAACAAAGAGTTTTTACACTCTATTGAACATTTAACGCAATATTGGAAGAACAAAGAAGACTGGACAATTTGCTCGTTATTAACTTACTAATTTCCAAGGGACTAGTATATATTGTGATTTGTTCAGCCCCCCCCCCCCTCCCCCAATCATTATCCTAGAATTTTATGTCATGTTTTCGACATTAATGAGAAATCGGCATCTAAATGTTAAATGGAAATATTCTGAAAGATTATGTGGAAAAAATATATTCTTACTATAATAATTATGTACTCTTGTTTTTGTTTTTGTTGTTGTTCTTGTTGATGTTGTTGTTGAAGTTGTTGTTGTTGTTGTTGTTAACAGCGACATTTCTGTTGCAGGTTTAATATAGTGACATTCACAAATATTGAGGCCATAATCTGAAGTGAGAATCGATAGCCTTCTCCAAATCTGCCAAAACAAACATGTGCATTATCGCTTTGACGATGATACACTGTTTTGGCGGGAAGTTTGCTTCGTCGTCATGGCAACAAATATCTTAGTTGAGTGATGCAGTAGGTTGTTCGTAAGACCCGCAAGATTCCATCTCTTCGTGAAATCGTATCTCTGCCTCCGGATGAAAGGTACAAGCTCGTGCATGGAAACCCTTGGACAGAGAAACGTGAGGAGAGCGGGGAAAGAGTCGAAAGAGGAGAGTAGGAGAGAGGGAGAGAGAGCGAGAGAGAGAGAGAGAGAGAGAGAGAGAGAGGGAGAGAGAGAGAGAGAGAGAGAGAGAGGGGGGGAGAGAGAGATAGGGGCAAAGAATGATGTACGAGCTTCTGTTTGAAAAGTCTAAGACAGAGAAAAAGGAAAGAAGGAAGAGTGGAAAAAATTTGGTTTTGGTTTGATGGTTTGTTTTACCTGACTGCTAAGAAAGCATGTGTATGCTTGTAAGGTAAGCAGTCAGGGACCAACGGACTCCAAGGGAATTGTGAATGAAGATTAATGTCTTACCAAAGGGCTCTAGTGCATCGACTTGCTTTCGAACCCAGGACCCCCAGAAGGGAGTAGAGAGAAAGAGAGAGAGAGAACGAGGGAGGAATGAAAACCCTTGGACAGAGAAACTTGTTACAGAGAGTTGACGAGAGGGAGGGAGGGAGGGAGAAAGAGAGAGAGAGAAAAAAAAAAGGAAGAAGGAGTGTGGTAAAAGCTTGTGTTTGAAAACGTTAATACAAAGAAAAGGAAAGACGGAAGAGTCTTAAAAAACAGAACTAAGCAAAGGGTAGAGAGAAAGAGGGAGGGAACAAGAGAGGGAGGTAAACATAAAGCTCGTTTATGGAAACCCTTAGACAGAGAAACTGTGGGAAAGACAGAAGATTTGAAAGAGGAGAATAAACAGAGAGTTAGAGAAAGGGGAGTGAAAGGGAAGGTGGAAGAGGTTGTACAAGTTTCTTTGTGAAAAGGGAAGAGGGAACTTAATTCATGAAAAAATGTGGATAAGCAGAGTATAGGAGAGAGATATGATAAGTAACTATAATAGTGATGATAATAAGGTGAATTTCAACACTCCTTGTGTTTCAAGGCGCCAAAGAAAGAGGGTGAAAACGAGAAATGGAGGTAAAATTTCGTGTATGGAAACCTATAGATAGAAAGAGGAAAGGCGTCAACGTCGAAAGTGGAGAGTAAAAAGAGAGTATAGGGAGAGAAGGAGGAAGGGAGGTAAAACCCTTGGACAAAGAAACTTGAGGATAGGCGGAAGAGTCGAAAGAGGAAAATAAACAGAGAGAAGGAGACAGAAAGAGAGAGAAAAAATAAGAATGGGGGAACAAGCTTGTGTATGCCAACATTAAGATAGGGAAGAGAAAAGGCGGAAGAGTCGAGAAAAAGAGAATAAACAGATAGTAGAATAGAGGAGAGAGGATATGAGAGGGGGGGGGGGAGACAATTCAAGGAATTTTCGGATTTGCAGCCGACCCCTCCCCCCCCCCCCCCCCCCTTTCACACACTCGGCCAGAGAGACCCGGATCCGTCACTGCATGATAATGGAAGGAAAATAAAATGAAGAAGAAGAAAAAAACACTCCTACTTTTGCTTTAATTCAATATATTTGGTACGGCTTTTATCATTTTTTTCCACGCCCATTCCCTTTCACTCGTCATGGCATTAGTCAAAATGGATAATGTAATTTTTTAACTTTAAATTCAAAGAGGGAACATATGACATGCAATTATTGAATTGTTTTTCAACTAAGTGCCCTTGAATACGGAACTTCCTCTGTGAATCGTGCAAGCGAAAGACTCTCTCTCTCTCTCTCTCTCTCTCACACACACTCTTTATCCCTTTCTTACTCTCTCCCTCTATCTCTTTCTGTGTATCCCTCCCACTTACCCTCTGTTTCTGGTGAGAGAGAGAGAGAGAGAGAGAGAGAGAGAGAGGGAAAGAGAGAAATCAGATTATAGATTATCTCCATTACATAGGACCTATCTAAACAATTATTTCACCTGTATCATTCTATCTTACCGTCTTTCTCTCTTGTTCTAGAGTAAAGCCCCCCCCCTTCTCTCTCTCTCTCTCTCTCTCTCTCTCTCTCTCTCTCTCTCTCTCTCTCCTCCCCCTCCCTCTCTCTTCCCCCCCCCCCCCTCTCTCTCTCTCTCTCTCAGAGTCTCTCTTGAAGTTGAAGTTGAAGATTCGCCGCTCCAGGTCACCTTTTGGGGATGCCTTATTAGGTCACATGTTTTAGTCCCGGCTTCCGCAGTACTCAGAAAAATCATCATCATCATGTGAGATGAAAGATACAAACCGTTATAGTACGTTCAGCCCAATTCTGGGGCATACCAAGTAAGTGTCATAAAGCATGGATGCGTGAAGGAAATTTACCATAGTACTCTTATGGCAAAGTTGGCCTGAAAAGTCACTTGCTCATGGGACAATTGCCCCGCCTGAACTTCCTACACTAACTGAATTCTTCACTCCAACCCCGAACGCAACACTGTACCTAACCCTAAACCTCACATAATTATGACCCCATGCAACTCTCAAACGCCAACTCTATCCCGTGTGCGAAATAAAGCCCACGTATAGAGTCTATAATGTTTAATTATCCCCCAACGAAAAATAGATTGATGAAAGAACAACAAGAATATATTCTTTTCGAAATCAACCATGAAAATGATAAAGTTGCACTAATTAGGTTAGTGGAGAAGCAATAATTTCGGAAGAACCGTGGAACTATGCAACGTATTGTTATTTCATTCAAATCAAGTGCCTATATATGCCCCCCCCCCCGTCACACACCACAAATCCGAAAAATTAACCAGCACTCATGCGTATGAAACACAATCATCATGAAGTAAATCATTGGTGATTTTTAACTTATGATAACAGAATAAAGCTCAAGTGTGTTCAACCTGTTCATAATTCTCACAAACGAAGGGGAGGTGCTCAAAATATTATCTACCCCAATTCGTCATCTCATTGGCTTCGCCGTGAAAATTTGAGAGCAAAAGAAGAAAAAAAAAGACCGAAGTTGAGAAATAAGGCATGGTTTCATCAGCTCGAGATTGCCAAATGGCCCGCTATTTCTGAATTGGGAAATAGTCCAGAAGTTACAAATCGCATCTTCATCGCGTTTTCATCAGCTAGAGACTTGACCTCGAAACTTGAAACTCGAGCTCGGGAAATTAGCTCGAGATATTTTGCTCAGCGTTCGCGCATAGTGCGAGTCTTCGGTCTGATGAAAACGCGCCGGACAAATAGCGGGGAATTTTGGGATGATTATCTCGACCAAATATCCCACTAATTCCAACATCGGGCTGATGAAGACGCAAAATTAACTGGATAATTTGCGATGGGGATAGTTCAAATAACGGGATATTTGGCAATCTCGAGCTGATGAAAACAGGCCTATAGATGCATGTCGGGATGGAGCGGTGACGCACCTTTACGTCAATCAACTGGTTCAGCCAACCGCGCCATTTCACCTTGAGATCGTTCAACTTCTCTTGCGTGGGCCCCCTGATAAGGGGAAGGGGCTGATGAGATGGGGGAGGATGATACTGACATGAATATAAATAGCAGGGGCTAAACAATCTTCCTATTTCGCTGTTCCTCTGTCGATTCAGAGGGTTCTCTTTGGTTTTTCTCTTAACCTGAACTTCGTTTTTATCTCTTCTCCTCAAGTTAGAGGTAAGTGAACATTTGTGTACTTTGTGTTGATGCATGATAATAGCCTATTTTATATTTGTTTCACTAAATTTTCTCGCCCTCTTAATTGTAATGTTTCATTTCAGCCAAAAACAAGTTATCGCGAAACTTGTACATCTATCAACTTTGGATTTTTTTTTTTAATCGAGAGGAATTCGGAAAAGAAAACATAACCGTCAGAGTACTACGAAAATTATCATAACTTTTCGAAATGACACGACCCTTACGCCTCTTTCAGATATAATGTTGCAAACCCGCGACGTTTTTTAAATATTATTTTGATTTTAATGACGTAAAATGTAAACGCTTCATATTTCTGAAACGTATAACGTAGTACTCAGTGGTAAATACATTGTACGAGCAAATCCTTTTTTGGGCGCAGTTGCTATTCCTTTTGCCCGTAACAAAAACATCCAGGGAGGCTTTTTTGCGGCGGCTTACCGCTACTCAACAAGCCTTGAGGCATAGTTTATTATTAATAATATGTTGGATTTTGTACAGTTTTTGTATATTTTAAAGTGTTCTTGTTTTCCTTAATTATTTAAATAGGCAACAATCTGAACTGCATTTCATTCAGCATATGTTTACGTCTAATTTGAAATGCTAACATCAAAATATAGTTTGTAATAGGTTTCATGCTGATTATAAATTGTAGTTTCTCATTTTCTAATTTAAAGTTATATGATTAATAACCGAAAAAACATAGCTTGGTGTACTCATTTCTCATATCATTTTATATTTTTGAAAGAAATACCACGGATAGGGTTTTTTAAGCGATGTGTACCGTTTTTAATTCAATAAATTAACACATCAATGTCTGTTCGTCTGAATTAGACATATTATTTTCCATTTCCTCATTGCATTAAACCAGTTTCGGATCTATGAATAAACTTAAAACTCGAACGCATATATTTTTAAGAAGAAGAACAACAAACCTATCAGGCAATTTCAACCGCCTTGCCCATCACCTTCTTCACTGTGTGAACATAACATATAACGTATTACACAATCAAATAATCAGAATGATGATAAATATGGATATGCGATGGGGTATACCCTTGAGTTGATATCTCAAAAGTTTTTCCGATCGTGTTATGATGAAAGTTATGTCAGCTGTTAAAACTTATTATGATATGGAAATATATATGTATAGCAAAAACAAATCTTAAAGAAAATAATTTCGTGAAAAAATAGTTTTATTTTACTAAATGTTTCTGAGTGTCTTTGTTGAGTCTGCTAGTTTATCAATGTTAAAGAATTGGTGTACAATTATATTTTGTCAAGTTTTAATATCATTATATGTATACCGGAGTGTTGGCTCAGTCAGTAGAGCGGCCGCCTCACAACCGGGAGGTCGTGGGTTCGTACCAAAAGACGTTAAAAGATGGGAGTTGTTGCTACCTTGTTTGGCGTTCAACAATAAGGTATAGAGCAACGTCGATCTGGCGCTGCTCAGTGGCTGCCGGGCTCACGATCAATTGGGCAAAAAGAATTTCCGTTTCGGTTTAATAAAACTTGGAGTGGACTATTAGGCTATTATTAGTATAATTAGTATAAGTATTATTAGTATTAGTATGTGCGGCCGAGGTTGTTTTGTTACATTTCAATGTTTGAATATTTATATGACAAGTCATGGAATAGTGCATGTATCGATCTTTTGTGAAAATGATTATGTTGATAATTAAAAAAGAAACTCTGTGGAAGGGTAAATAGAAAGGAAAAAAAATATTTGACCATTGCCTAGCTCTTCAAGCACATCACATACCTTTTGATCTGACATTGACTCCATTTTTGAAGGAAAATAAATGCAACAAAATAAGAAATGTAAGTTTACGTCAATTCTAACCCTTCTTAAATGAGATCCAGAATTCCAAATGAATAGGAAATTGCAGGTAATTGTGAGCGTTAAGCAGGCATATGCTCAGGTGACATGTGCTCTGGGCTTCATTTCGTGAAAGATAGGGTTCAGTAGAGTTGAGATTGAAATGAGTTTCGGGTTAGGTTTAGGGTTAGGGTTAGTATATAGCATTTGGTCGCGGGTTGAAGGAAGGAATTAAGTCGGTGTAGGGGGTTGACCGTATTGTTCCCTGACCATGCTGACCATGGGGGTGTTTCACAAAGACTAAGATCAACTTTAAGTTGGACTTAACTATGAAAGGCCACTCAAGTCACTAGTTGCTCTCACAATTATGATTTTTAGATTTTGTTACTTCAATAATGAATTATCAAAGATTCTGTAGATTTGTGAATAAATTGCGAACATGAGTTGTACGTCCCTTGAGAGACCAATAACAGTAACTGGTGATAGCGATCATTGGCATGAACAGCCTGCCATAGTTAATTCCAACTTAAAGTCAATCCATATCGCTCCGTTTAGTCTCATTTCACAACGCCCCTTATCGTCAGAGTCAGCAGCCTAACATGTTAGCCTATGGAATTTTACCCCCCAAAATCGTTAAAAATTCATTTTTTGTGTAAACGAAAAGCACATCCACCCCGACGTACGTTATCACTAGCTCTTTCATTGGAACTCTCATGTCCCATTGACTTTTGAAAGTTCATCCACCGTAATTTCATCAAAATAGGTTGCAAGCTCGTCATTGCCTATAATACACATGTGAAACAAGTCGAACTTTGGACTCAGTTTGCCAAGCGATTTTAAGATTATAGGTCAAGCACACGAAGGATAAGACGCATGAATTATCATATATCACTTTTGCTTGGTTCATTATGTCCATTTCATCCAACCCCCACCGTCATTTTTCCATTTAGTAAAAGCAAACATTTTGCCGAGGTAAGCAAAAACATGAATATTCATGAACGGTCAGACAATAAAGCCTTTTAGTACGTAACGTATAGTGAATGGGAATGGGCGATGATCCATCCAGGAGGTAGAGGTCAGTGGTTTGTGCTGGCAATATTCCAGCGAGCGAAAATGAGACAACCGGAGCAATATGTTAGTCTTTGTGAACACCCCCATGTGTCGTAAAGGACCTGCTACTCAGGGAAAGACCCCTTTGGCTGCGAATCATAGTGACACCAAATTGGTCGCATGCACGACTGCAAATCAATGTGTGGCTAGATCGCCAGTTTATCCAAATGGAAAGCCTACAATATACCTACGCTTTCGATAATGCAATGTTAAGGCCATTTCTGATTCTAGATCAAGGAGCATCGATAAAACCTTAGGCGCGGTTGACTGTATATGACATTCAGTCAATAAAGTAGAATTTTTAGAGCCTCGTCAACTAATCGTTAACAAATTATTAAATGGTCGTCACCAGTGAAAGAACTGGGTATTATATACAAAGATCTAAATTTTCGGGGTCTTTTTCATTTATCTATTTTAGATTCCATCTGGTGTTTTTTTTTAATCATTTTGCTTTGATTCTTTCCCTCTTTTGATTTATGTGTTATCGCTCTTACTATCTGCATTACAGTTGCTGTCTTAGTAATTATTTCCTCCTTCCATCTTTTCTATTTTTTCTGTAAACTTACAGGTCTTTCAAGCAAAATGCGAGTGGCAATCGTCCTTGCCTTTGTTCTCGTGGCGACCATCGCCCCTGCCACCTGCCAAGCACCATGGTGGAGAGGGCAAGCCATCAAGCGACTCGGCCAGGGGCAGCAGCAACAGTTCCGCCCCAAAAATCAATGGCTGCCGCCCCAAGATCGCGAGGCTGCGCAGGAGATGCGAGAGCGAATGGCGGAGCAAGCAGAGCAAGATGCCGAAGCCGCAGAAGAGTTGCGAGAACAAGAAGAAGAACGGGCACAAGAATTGCAGGAGCAGCAGGCCGAAACTGCACAACAAATGCAAGAGCAGCAGGCGGAAGGTGACCAGCCAGATGCCTGGGCCGCACAGGGAATGCAACAACAAGATGCAGAAGCAGCACAGGAAATGGCAGAACAGGATGCAGAAGCAGCACAGGAAATGGCAGAACAGGATGCAGAAGCGGCTCAGGAAATGGCAGAACGGGATGCAGAAGAGGCTCAGGAAATGGCCGAACAGGATGCAGAAGCGGCTCAGGAAATGGCAGAACAGGAAGCTGAGGCTGAAGAGGCTCAGGGAATGGCAGAACAGGAAGCTGAGGCTGCAGAAGAGTTGAATGAACAACAAGCAGAAGAAGCGGAAGCTGAGGCTGAAGCATTGGAGGAACTCCAGGAACAAGAAGCTGAAGCAGCTGAAGCAAGGGACGAAATGCAAGGTGAAGAAGCAGAGGGAGCAGGCCTAGGAGCAGGTGGAAGTGGAAGTGTTGGAACATCATTCAGTTTAGGAGGTAGCCAATATCCGCCTTCAATGGGAGGCGGGTCAGCTGGTCCCTCATTTTATGATCCAACAGGAGGTCTTGGTGGGTCAGGAGGGTCCGGAGGGTCCGGAGGGTCCGGAGGGTCTGTTAGCTATGGGGGATCTTCATACAGGGGAAATCAAGGATCCACCGGAGGATCAAACGGAGTACCCGGTGGAGCGATTGGAGGAGCCGGTGGAGTACCCGGTGGAGCGATTGGAGGAGCCGGTGGAGTACCCGGTGGAGCAATTGGAGGAGCAGGTGGAGCAGGTGGAGCAGGAGGATCCCCAGGAGATGTACCTGGAGGAGGAAACATAGGAGTCAATGGAGCGGCAACAGGAGGAGTACCAACTGGAGCAGCAAACGGAGCCGCCCCAAATGGAGCAGCGAATTCAGGAACCAATGGTACCACCAATGGGACAGCAAACGGAGCCGCCCCAAATGGAGCAGCGAACTCAGCCACAAGTGGAGCCGCCCCAAACGGAACAGCAAACGGAACTACTGGAGCAGCAGGATCGAATGGCTTGAATGGTAATGGAGGGGTAGGTTCCCAGGGTACAGCTGGATCTTCGCAAGGCTCAACCAGCACATGGACTGAAGGAATAGGACAGAGCATGGGAAGTTCTTTCGCTGGATCAACTAATCTCGGTGCCCCAAATGAGCCCAATATTGCCTTTGCACCTGCTCCTCTCGCACAAGCTACAGATGCTCCACTGACTCCGGCCGAAACAGCTGCGTTGGACAAAACGTACATGGACAAACATCTCTGTGGTGGATTCATGGGTGCTAACGGAATATCGGGAAAGAAAGATCTCGCTGTGCTTGCTCTTGACTATGCAGGAATGAAACAAGCACTCGATCCTTGCAATGTACCGAAGAATGGACAAACGACCGGACGTACTCCAGTAAACATCGCGTTCCGCACGGGTATGGAGACGCACGGTCAGGATCCTGCCTCTTCTGTCCTTCGTGATCTTCCAGGTATGATCCAACGATATCAAAAGGCCCCGCTAAAGGTTCATCTCTTCTCTTGGTTTACGCCATCCGAACATGCTCTCCGTAGTCTCCTTACAAAGAAACGTCGAGGAGGTCTTGTAAACGCCGAGGTGGTCCTCGGATACGTTGAGGAAAGCAAAATGGCCCTCTTCAGCGCACTCCTGGGTGACACCACATTCACCAATCTCTTGGGTCAACTCCAGCAAGCCGGCATCGGTGTAAACCGTGTTTGTGACACTTGCAGTCAGATTGCCAACTTGACCAACTGGCAACGGAAGCGCCAAGGCCTGGTCAACGGAGTCGGTGTGTTCGACCAGCAAGCCGGACAGTGCGGACCCGTTGCTGAAGTTCCGGCCACCGACCAACTGGCCCTCAGCGCCCCACAGTGCCAGAGCTTCCAGGAATCCATGGGGTCTTGCATATTCGGCAAGCTGACTGCTGCATGCCCCTGGCTTCGACACGCCCAAGCTGCCAGCGAACACCCACTGGCTGCTACCATGCAAACATGGTCCACCGAGTGCGGGAAGAACCTTGCCTGCTGGCAAGACAAGGGTGCTTACCTGAGTTTCCTGGCGCGCTCTGCAGCCAGCTGTCGCGTCTCACAATACGGTGCTTCCGCAGCCATTGGTCAATGTGTTGGCGCAGGACAGAATACACCTCTTGATCCCGCTCCAGCACAGCCTTCTTTGTAGAGAAGTCCATTGACCTGTCGCTTGAAGAAGAAAAAAAAGGGGGAAACGAAAGAAAAAACTACCTATACTATATTGAGTACACTGAACTATTCCTAACCACGACATAAGGATACATTTACTTGTGTGTACATAGAAAAGATTTTTTATTTTGTTTATAATCAACAGTTGTTTCATTTGCCTATCTCTTATTTTACATTGATTCATTTTCTTCCATAAACAAATGTCTGATTATCCGAAAGTTAAATAGCGAGAAGAATATTTTACAAAAAAGACACGAGACTCAAACAGGCTTCTCTGCCAGGAAATCGATCATACCTTTCCACTCGAGTTTATGCATCACTATCCCTTTTGGAGAGGATTAATCATTAATGTGCTTTGTCTCTTGCGAGGTGCATGTTTATCTGTACGCTTCTCTCTAATTGCAACGCCATATCTCAATTGAATTGTTTGCCTTCAAACTTCTCAAAAGTAACGTATATTACTGTCTGTTAAACTAGTTCATCAGGATGGTATAAATGTATATTGTTGTTTCTGTTTAATCTGACGAAATCGTCCAAAATGTATAACATTATTTAGAGGAGTTGCCTCGAATCCCAAAAATATTGTTATTTGATTTACCGAACTGTATCAAACAATATAGTTTGTATTGACATTTTCGATATTGATTGTTCGACACATGCTCATGCGACTTCTCCGCGATCAATTCTTAACATCTACCCTCAATCAGACACTTTACCTAGCCCTAAGCCTAGACATATTCTAAAACCAATTGCAATCCTTAGTCTCAGCCTATGTATTGGACGGGATTTAGCTCAGAGCGACGGTGCATACATTGGAGCACCGCAATACCACCTCTCAATGGTAAAAGAGAGAATTACTTTGAGCAGATTTCGAACGATTTCACCTCATCAATTAAATGGTATATTGTTATTAGAAAATAATGGAAATAATCATTCTGATGTTTTGTATTGTATGTAATAAAAAATGTACAACGGATAATTAAATAAAAGCAAATTTAATGGACATTGCGTATCTATAATTCTCTCGAAACCCTCTTTGGGCTTCATGATTGCTGAAGTGTTTTGCTTATTTTATAATGTATTTCAGCCCGTTGTCAAAAAAGACACCGCCTGCACTTGTCGAACTGAAAGTATTAAAAACGCAATGTTTTATAGTGTATTTTTTTAATAATGTGGTGTGCATATTAAATGTAACTAAAATTAACATAGTAAGACAACAGAGACAAGGAAACCAAGAGTATAACGAAATAAATGTGAGGTAAAATGATACAAATTCTCTGTTTACTTTTCAGTATCAAAACAAAGCTTGAATGAGAGAAGAAACATGTATGTGGAAGATGAAGGCCTAAATGTATCGTTCGTACTTATACGTGTTTGATTGGTTCGTTTGTTGATTGATTCATCGACTGTTTGATTGATTGATTTATTATTGATAGGTTGATTGAGTAACATAAGTGGTTGATTGATTGATTGTTAATTTGGTGATTGAATGAATGATTCATTTATTGATAAATCTTAATTAATTCTTCATTTCGGTGTCTGGTTGGTAGACGATTGAATGAGTGATTGATTGGATAAAAACGTGTTGATTGATTAAGGGCCTAAATGTACCTTTGATCGTTAGGCATAATTAATGAGTTGTACATCGACTGTTTGATTGATTGGTTGATTGAATGATTGATTGGATGAATTTTAGTTCGGTGATTGAATAGGTGATTGATGTATTAATCGAGTAATTTCTTGCTTGGGTTTCGATTAGGTCGGTGGCTGCGAGTGGTCAATTGATTGATGGAGTTATTGGGTTGAGTCATACTAATATGAAAATGTATTTTAGTTAAAATTGCATATCACTATAAAACCTTGAAATTTGGTACGATGTTTGACATAACTTATACCAAACATCAGTCAGCCTATCTTTTGATTATAATCAATCAATACAGTTATAATTTATTCTGTCTATGGATGGGCCATTCGTAGATGAAGCAAGAAAGTACTCAATAAAAACCGTAAATCCGTCAACAATCAACCACTCAGTCAGCCGGTACATGAACAGATCTAATCAATCACCAACAATCAAGTCAAATCAACGAACTAATCAAATCTATCAATCAATCAAGAAATCAGTCGAACAATGAATTGACAAATCAGTCATTCAACCAATAAACAAAGTAGTCAATCAATTAATCAGACAATCAATCAATAATTCATTCAATCGATCAATCAATCAATCAATGACCAAATCAGTCAACCAACCATGTGAATAGGAATTTGGAACCAATCAATAAACGAAATACAAAACTTGTCAAACAAGCAGGCAATTAAATTAGAAAATCCTTTGTTAATCGCCTTTAATCCGCTCTAAATATATATTATTCAATTCTTACAGTCCCACAAATGCGTCAAAAAGTCCACTTCTCCCAAAATTTGTTGTAAGATTAGATTTTATTTTATTTCATTTATTTATTTCCGTTTCTATATAAACATGACAGGCAAGTACAAAGTACCTGAAAATTCATCAATTGACATAAATGATTTTTACAATTCAGTTAAGCTAAAAGTGCTTCACCCTTCGTTTGTTACAGGTGAAATTCAAAGAAAATCACAAATATGTCAACTAATGTATCACTAGAAATTGGTAAGCTAACATATGGCCATCGTACCAGTTTTAGGTCAACTACATATCGGGTGATTCATAAAAGTACAAATACAACCGCCTCCATAGCAGCTGGGATATACGAGAGATTCGCCGGAAAAATAACGATGTTTTAATGACGTCACTATATGGACCAAAACTGCCCAAGCAGACGACATCCCATAAAGAATAAACATAATTGCAAAGCTGTTATTTGTCAAATTATAATGAATTTAGTGTATATAAATGTAATGGCATGTCAAACCTTTCAAAAGGGGATATGACCCGATTCTGATAACTAAAATCTTTTGCTTGTAAATACACAGGATAGGGGTTAATTAACAATCTAAGAAACCAGACTTTCAAATTGAAACCCCCCCCCCCCCGATTGATATTAAGGACGGCATTTGGTTCATCTTGAAACGCCGAACATACCGCGGTGTGTGCAGCTGAATATACAATGGCGTCTTATTTTGTTTACAAGCGACAGATTCCTTTATTTTTGTATCGCTGCATTTGTCATCAAAATAAAACCATGCGCGGGGTTTAGAGGCAATAAATTATACATTTAGCCTGACGGTAGTGAAGTAAGAGAAAGAACTCAAGAGAAGATGAAAACACAGGCACTGAAAATGTGTGAGATGTCATGGGACATCGTCTGCTTGTGCAAATCATGTCCATACTGTGATCTCACACATCTCAGCAGCGTTCGGAAATTTATTCAGTTGCTATGCCGGGGCTGTATTTAGGCGTTTTGTAATTTATAATAATCATTACTTCGAATGTTTCCAGGCATTGAATTTTGATAACCTTGTCGAATCAAAGTTTCAACTTTGCAATAATGATAATAAAGTTAGTTTTTAAAATCAATGAATATCTACTTTAAGTTACATTTTAAAATGTATTATATACCTCACTTAAGAAATCCAGCCATCTGATTGGTCGAAATTGCAGTCATGGTTTTAGCCATTCCCGTAAATAAACGAAAAATGCCACGCCCACGTAATAGTTCGAGGGTAAAATTCAAGTTACCGGGAATAGTTCAGTTTTGCTTAAAAACTGGTTTGAGCGATCGCGGATACCATACATGTACGTGTGCGAAGAATTGGTCGCTAGACAGCAAGAACACCAAAAGGGTAGGCCCTACGTGAATGAATTGGTCTTATTATCAGCCGTAGATCCAGGTCTAGACTTGTTTCTTGTCTGTTATAGTCATTTAATAGATTAAATACTTGAATTCTGAGCAGATTTCAGTAACACAAAAAAATCCAGCCCGTTCATAGTCCCACACACGTATTTGTATGTGCCTTGTGCCTAACACTGCTTAGTCAATTAGTCTGCTGTCTCGATAGCGTAAACAAACTTGATTATCATGATTGGTAAGTCGCACATGTATTCTATGACCTTTTTCGGTATATAAAAGTATTAATGACTTCTTAATTTTTGAGACATAGTTGTTTTATACGCTCTTGGGAAGGTTACAATCAAGCTATTGCCCGAGGCTTCAAAGCAGTCATCAATACTATACTAATACACAGTATGTAAAAAAGAAACCGTGATAAATTTATACTACTTCTTATCTAGAACAAGGTTTCATGTTTTACTCTATCGACCAAATCATTACTTGGCATAAACATAATAGTAGCTTCCGTTCCAAGTGTACTTGTTGCGGAACCACTGATCACTAGACAAGCTTGCCCCTGATCCCCGGGGCGAGAAGAAGAGCGACTGGAAGAAGAAGGGCTTGGAAACCCCATTGGCAGGTGGTAGCCCTCCCCCTTGTCCGCATTCGCTTGTACCCCCTGGAATGCAGGTCACTCGATCAACTATGGTATAAACGAAAAACACATTTTAATTGTATAAAAAACAAAATAAAACATGGTGTGAACCCGGTGACATAGTGTGTAAACCCTGGGAGATGGCGTTTTATCCCTAATTAAAACAGTTTCAATATGAATCATCACCAGTGCGCTATTTTGTATAACGCAGGTGCTTTGCAATAATATTTAGAATGGGGATGTTGCAAACACATGGAGTTTTTGAATTGCCAAAGGGTTAATTGAATGGGGTCAGGCAACTGAAAGCATTATGAATATATTTTGATTATAGACTACACGATGAAAACATTTACCACTGCCAGACGGAAATTCAATACGGGTATGGTCGTTGCCGTAATTAGGAATGAACAGACAGTCAGACCGCAGCGCCCGCAAATTCGCACGCATTTATAAAATACGTATGCATGAAATCTGGGTCTTGAATGCGAAGTGCGAGAAAACACCCCCAAACTTACAATCCCCTAATTCTACGGAGAAAAGGTGTATGGACATGAAACTTCAGGAAAAGTTAGATTAAACTATGATGATATGCACCATGAAAAAAAAGGGTCAGATTTAGGTTCTAAAAATGTCTAATGACGAGGAATTATAAGGAGGAAATTTCGGTAAATTATGTTCGATTCATCGGCATGAAAATGATCCTGAACGTCCAATGATTCAATGACAAAAATAGTTCACCATCTTCATCAACTCTTCTGCTTTCCATTAGTACCTAAAACATATTATTTCAAGTTCAATACCAGTCAGGAGCTAGCGAAATACGACGAGTGTACCGAAAACACCAGACGAGAAACCTCCGCCTCGGACAGCCGACGGTTTTCAGTAGCTTAATTTAGACCGGGGGTAGTCACGCGATGCGCCATTTGGGATCCTCCTTGTGTCAGCGATCGCAATAATTTGAATCGCCAATGGGTTTATTGAATGGGGTCAGACAAATGAAAACATTATGAATATTTTGTAATGCACATTTCGAACATGATAAAAACCTGTATAAAATGAGACTATAGACCACACGATGAAATCATTTACCACTGCCAGACGGAAATTCAATGCGGGTATGGTCGTTGCCGTGATTAGGAATGAACAGAGGTGTATCCACAAGCCAAGGAAGGGATCGTGTAGTGAGACGCGATGGGTTAACGCTGTCATCTGCCTGCATTTTGAAGACAACGTCAGTTTGGACCAGGAAATGATTGTATTTGAGATCAATCATCTCTTTGACTTCGGAAGGGGAGATGATGTCGAGAGTGATTTCGGTGGCGTCTTCGTCAACATAGTTCCAGACGGTTCCTTTGTTGGACCTGCCGTAGCGGGCCCACCCACCGCCCTCAATGTCCATCTCACAAAACACCTGTAAGACAAGATGGAAGATGGTAAAATGTTACCTGTGTGAGGATGGAGCTACATGCATCATACAACTGAGATTTATGAGTTCGGGGGGGGGGGGGGAGGGACACGTGCCCCGACCATCTGGAATCTTGCAGGGGCAATATTGTCATTGCAAAAAGAATATGCACTGAATCCTGCCCGCAAAAGGAAATTGGACCCCAAAAAGAAGTTGAATGTTATAACAATTTTTTTTTCTTACGTTCTTGTGGCTGGTGCCCTATACCCATCCACTCACGTCGTCGAACTAAAACAAAAACATACCTTTCGATAGAGCCCAGCGCTCTCGATGTAGTAGAAGCCACTGGCTGCTTCACGGCACATATCCTTGACATGTTGGCAGGACAATGCCGGGTTGCTTGGAGTTCCAAAATTATTGCAGCCTTCTGTCGTATGATAAAATTTAAAAAAGGCCGTTGCTAGTTTTCGTTCCAAGTGTGTAGGCCTAACAAATATCGTGATCGGGCATCTCAAAAACTAATAAAAGCTAAATCCTTTCTTTTTTCTTTTTCTTCTTCCTCTCCTTCTTCATCATCTTGTCCGTGCTTCTCATTCTTCTTTTTTCATTTTTTCCTTCTTCGTTGACTTATTTTCCCCCTCCTCTTCTTTTTTCTTCTTTCCCTTAACATTCGTACTATAACCCATTTTTTACCTGCTGAACCTTGGCATGTAATCGCACCATTGATGTGCAGCTGTGCTTGACCGTATCCCTGGGCACGGATGCTGACAATCAACAGCATGACCAGAGCGATGGAAACAAACGACGCCATTTTGATCCTAACAATCAAAGATCAGGAAGAAATGTATAGAGAGTTCAGGTTTACTTCAAGTGGACTGGATTTGTAATCAACGGGCTTACAAAGAATTTAAGCAGCTACGTGACTGCATTTTGAAATGTTTGTGTCAGTACCACTAACCTAACCCGGGGATCTACAAGCACACCTATTACCCCTAATTACCAAACAGGTGAAGATGGTCTGTAAGTAATCACCAAGTATATACTCTGACTGATAACCATGATAACATGCATCCAAACAGGCCTACTCAAATGGCGGCGCGAAGTCAGTCGAAGCGGCGCGCAGCTGTTGCCCCCCCCCCCCTCAGCACAGTCACCAAACATACAGGTTGGCACTTCAACTTCAATAACATTTTCATTTGGCACTTCTAATAAACTAGTTGAGAAGGCCTGATCTAGAACATGTAACCTTATCATACAATGCCCACATTAACTGATAACCCCAGTGTTATCCCACCTCTTCCCCGCATGGTGCCACGTCATTTTCAAACATATAACTCATTGTTAGCGGGGTAGAAAATGGCCCCAAGGACCTACATGAGCCCTTGTATTCACAAAAGTACCTTATTTTTGAAAGAAAAAAAACAGGTAGACCTACATACCACGGGTCGCCTAAATTTACCGCCCCCTCCCCCTTTATTATCGTGATATTTTATTAATATTGGTTATGATTATATAAGTACATAAAACACAATAAAACTTTTCTGTAACATTTCAAGAGCTACTATGAGAGAGGAAAAACAAAACAAAATAAATCAAAACACTTATATGAGGTTAAACGAATTCAGCGTTTGGCTCGTGAGCAAATAGTTTTAGCATCGCCTAGATAATTAACACTAGATTGCATGGAATGAAATTAAACTCTCCACAACTTACCTTTTTTTAAATACAGATTCAAACGGCTTACATGCACAGTAATGTCACCTTGTGTTCTGCGGTGAGATTTATGTTGCCTGGCCTGTATTTATAACGTATCGAGAACTAATATTCGTGTGCAAAGAAAAACATGATATAAAGATTATTTTACCAAAGTTACTTATTACTTATTTTACCACGCTTACTTATCAATAATTACAGAGACTGAGGCATTCAACCATGGTCCGTGTGCAAAAAAAAGGGAGCAAATTCGTTTCCTCCTTTCGTGTATGACGCGCAATTTGCCTAATAATTCAGATAAACAATGTTTATTGCCGATAATCACTGATTATCGACTGATGTACAGTGTTTATCGGCGATAAATAGTGTTTATCGATAAGCACTATTTTTTCGAAAAGCAGATTTATTCGTATTTCGTCGTGAGTGGGCGCTTTTCAAAGTCGAGCTCAAAGGGCCTTAACTAAATCGCTTCTGCATCAATGATTATCAATCAAAATTCTCAAAGATCATTTAGCTCACTAAACAAGTGCCGTTCTCATAACATGATCTTTCATATTGTGCCCCCTCCCCAATGAAAATTTCAATTTGGCCTTGTTCTTTTCATATTTGCACTCAACGCCATTTTTTTTTAATATTCGCCTACCCCCCCCCCCCCCACATGCAACTTTGAAAAGCGCCCACTCCCGGCGAAATACGAATAGCTCTGTTTTGATAAACACCTTGTTTATCTCGCTAAACTGTCGGCGATAAACACTGTTTATCGAAAGGAACTATGTTTATCGAGTGATAAGCATAGGTTTCTCGATAAACAGTGTTTATCGCTTGATAAACAGTGTTTTCGGCGATAAACAGTGTTCATCTAAATTATTAGTCAAACGGCGCGCCATATGTGTATCGATAAAAACTATGTTTATCACTAGATAAACACTGTTTATCGAAAAGCAGAGTTATTTGCATTTCGTCGGCCGGGAACAGGCGCTTTTCAAAGTTGTACTCAAAGATATTGTATCATACATAGTATGTACCCAAAAGGAGGACTAGAAGGGCAGCTAAATTGTGATTTGAAAATATTATTGACAATAATGATGATAATAGTAATGATAACAATAATTATAATGATAATAGTAGTAATAACAACAAAAATAATGTTCAATGTTTTTTAACGGCGATAAACAGTGTGTATGTGATTGATTGGGCAAATGGCGCGCCATATTCGTGAATTTTAGCTGACAAGGGTGCTTTGAGCGTGACCACGCCCACATTTCAATTTATAGTAGAGAGAGATGTCATGCACCTATGGGTCCGTGTGCAAAAAAAAAATAAGAAAGAAATATCTATTACCATTAATCCAATTCGTTTTATTGCCTTGTCATGATCACGCCTTCTTGTGTGGACCTGAAAATTGGGTTTCCCCCTTATTTTTCAAGAGTTTCCGCATCGGATAATGTGAGTAAATATCGACTTGAAAAGGGACGCAAACACAATAGGAGAACGTTATACATGGGTGCTGCTCTTCTTTGGTGCTCTGGTTTTCCCCAACATATACACACAAAACAAAATTATAACTTGTATTGCAATGGTATTAGAACGATATGCATGCATTGACGGCAGTGTTTCTACATGACAGACAAACGAGCATCTCTCGGACTATCCAGAGCAATTTTTTAGAATTCTGTAGCATCTAGGATAGTGGAGATATAAAGGGGTTAAAGAGAAGCTTCTTTGAAATTTTAAATATATATACAATTTATTATACCTCTACAGATTGCTTAGAACCTCAACAATAAGAAGAAAGTACTCTTAAGCCCTCACTAGTGTGAGGAATAAATTAAATGCAATTTTGATATCCTTTCCAGAACCCACTCACAAATTGAAATGACGGCGATAAAACACATGCGATAGTGTGACGTCAGTGAATGACCTACCTTACATCACACATTCGGGACAACGTTGAATTTGATGAGATTCTAGAGATTATGCCTAACGAAGTTTGAAATGAATCGGAATAAAAGAACGGACCAATAAGATAGGGCTCATATGCATTACGTGGAAAAAGAATGGGATTTTGATGAAGGAAGAACACGTCATGACGCGTACTGTGTCAGAAATGACCTTCCATACTAGCATAATCATGCAGGGTATGAAATGGCGTTTAAAGTGTCCCCCTTGAGAGATTTTCAAAATCCTCCACCCGGAATATGCTTGCAAAATTTCAAGGAAAGAAGTTCGGAAAGAGGGTGAAAGCGTTCTCAAAGATGACGTCATAGCCAATATTTGTTATAATTGGAGGGAAACACAACATAATCTGTTTAGTGACCCATGATCAAGAGAGATTTATTAAAAAACATTTTTGTGAACATATCACCTTGTTTGGTGTCATTCGAAAGGGCATTTCGTTGCGGTTAGTTGGACACATTTGACTGTTGCGCGTTATGTATTGCAAGCATTAAACGGGTTGTTATACAATGCAAAGTAAATTTATCATTTGTGGCAAAAATTTGTGATGACTTCATCAAATTTTACCAAACTTGGCAGACAGTTGTCAAGTGTATGGATAAAACATGTCTGCTAAGTTTAATTGCGCGTGTATAAAGATCGCCATTTGAAAGCAAGTTGAATCGATTTTGCAATTTTCATCTAGCAGCGAATCAGCTAATCAACCGGCCGGCGAATGAGCGGGTGGGGAGGGGGGGGGGGGGGGAGGTAAAGAGTACAAAACGTACGACCATTCCGTACAAGGGTCTGAAAATCTAACTATTACTAAATCGATTGCAATTCTAATGCTACTTTTTTTTCTCCTGATAATATTTCAGCAACGAATTGAGAGTTTTGGTAGACATCTTGGATGTAAAATAGCAATCATTCCTGGGCACATGACGTATTGTACTAAAATATTATTATGATAATAAGGATATGAAGATAAATAACAATAATTATAAGAACATTTACAATATTAATACTAACAATAATAATGATAATAATTGCAATGATAACTACTATTATTACAACACCAATGACAATCATGATAATAATGAAAATAATAATTATCATGATACTGCTGACATTTATATTACTTTTTATACTATCTCCTATAGGAAGACAAAGATGATGAAGAAAGGGAAGAAGAAGAATCAATACAGCGATATTAGTGATTACATTATCTTTGATCGAGGCATACACATGCATATTACATACTCCGTGGTAAGAAGGAAGTAAGCAAGGGAAAAGAAAGGCAATGAAAAAATGAGAAAGAGAGATGAAGTATAGCCTGGGTTCAAATTCAGTTTTCGTCAAATTATTATACCAGGAAATGATCCTCATTTTAATATCTGCCATACTATTGCCATGGGACGCTACATAAAAATAGTACCAGAGTGCCGTCTATTGTCATCAAATATTGTTCAAATAGCATCATAGAGACGATGAACGAAGAAGAATAATAATGCAAGGTCATGAGAATATTCCATTCTTTCTCTCTCTCTCTCTCTGCTAAATAACCCGAACAATGGAATCAACTGTTAAAGATACCATGTCTGTCTTGCAACCAACATCAAATTCTGTAGAATTTTGCAGGAACTATGAATATGTCTTATCTCTAAAATGTAAACGTTGGCAGTGTCCTAGTATTCAAATTATGCAAGGGAACCCGTTTACTTTCTAGACTTCACTGTTAAACACTATTGAGTGACTGACTGACATCTTTTTTTCTTTGGTAATAACATACATAAATGAGCTGTAACAGGTACATGACCATTTGTCTACATCAATAACCCACAACTTGTAATGGCCAAGATAAAAGTTATTAAATCTTTGTGCTGCACAGAACTACGACCATTCGGTACAAGGAACTGAAAATCAGACTTTTACTCGGTGATTGCAATCACTTATATCGATTCGACAACTAATGGTCGTTTCCCACAAAAACCTGATTTTCAAACCCTTTCGTTTTGAGGGAAGTTCTAAATATGCATTGTCTTTCAAATGCCGTTCGAATTTAACCTTTTCATTTTTTTGACCTGCAAATGGGACATTGTACCTTTAAACGAACTTATCCTGAGTCATGAAATTCAATTTGTTACTGCTTGTTATTGTAGTATT